CAATGCCAAACAAAAAATGTGCTTGAATTTTAAAAGGTGACCTGAAAGGATGATTGCTTCTAAACTTTTTACAGACTTAATTTCTCACATGTGTTTTGTTTTTAAATTATATTGTTTTATTTGACAGTCCATTGCACAAAATCTCTTGTAAATAAAAATAAAAACTTTATAACCCATTTTATACCTTAGATGAGGCAGCATATCTTTAAATTCCTCTAAGACATTAATATTTCCCTAGCCTTTTCCCCTTTTGTTTTTTTTTAAATAATTGTAGCATAATAACAAAGAACTTGTTATTCTAATTTATCCTGTGTTGCAGTGAAATCCAGGAAGAACAAATTGATAGATTATTTCACGTGTATTTAAAATCTGAAAACTACAATGAAAAATGTTGGTGGTAGGTTTTTAAATGCATATTACATAAGTTGATTGCAACTTTTGAATCTTATGTAAAGGAGTATCTTACTAAGTGAACAATTGAATAAAGAAACTGTCAGAGACAGACACTTTCAAAGCTTTGGTTATCAGATACAGTTATCTCCAATCAGTTTTCTTTCATCAAATCATTTATTGAATCTCCCTATAGCAGATGGTAATACTGCAAGGTACTTTTCACTTTTTTGTGACAGTGCTGGAGTTTGCAATTTTTCGAATGTTTTACTTGCTAGAATAAAAAAACTTGATTTTATTGCTGGAAAAAACAGTGTTTGAGGGGATTGAGTTGTATATGCACCCCTGTGCTCTTCCTTCCAACTCCATTTGTATCTCTTCCACAGGGCTGGACTCTAATGCATGGTGCCTAAGCATTGTGGCCATATTGGCTTGCTATTCTCACTGCCTTTGCTGTAGGGATATACCACTTTTCCTTTCTTTGTTCTTTTTTATCTCCCTCTTTCTTCCTTTCATTGTTCCTCAGCTTGGTAAACTCTCCCAATTCCAGTCTTCCTTCTCTGTTTACCCTAGTGTTTGATTTTCTAGGGAAAAGTAGTAGAAGAAACTGGGTTTTTGTACCAACAGCTTTGCACCTTTTTTCAAACCTTTTTACCTCTAGGTGGGTCTTGTCTGAACCTAATTGCATCTTGAGTGATGTCTCCCTGAAGTGCTTTAAACTCTGTAGTGTTGATAATCTTTGTTTGTAGGGCCTCTGGGGAAAAAGCAGTTGTTTAGGGCATACAAAAATCATTTCCCTTAAAAGGAATCTGTTTCCAGTTTTTGGTGATGGATGAAAACCTAGAAAAGCCTTTAGGAAGGACTCTGTTTTAGCGCCATGAGGGGTAAAAAGTGGTTTTGAAGTTGAGAGATGATTTTATGATTGACTGTAGATAGAGTCCTCATTCAAAAACAAATGGTGGCTGTGAAAGAGAAGCAGGTAGACTGTATCTGAGTTTTTTTTTAATTGAAAAGGGAGTAATTTAATGCTACATAAAGACTATATGGTCCTCAAAGAATATTACTTTCTGACATCTTTTTAATATTTTTAGTTGTAGATGGGCAAATACCTTTATTTTGTTTATTTATTTATATGTGGTGCTGAGGATCGAATCCAGAGCCTCACACATGATAGGCTAGCACTTTACCGTTGAGCTAGAGTCCCAGCCCACTTTCTGACATCTTGAAAATGCAGTTTCGACTTTTTGTTCCTTCTCCCAACCTCTGAGAGAAATATTGATATGTTTATAGTTTCTGGTTTGCTTTTAATTACTAAAGGAGGCAGATTGCTTTCATTAAATTCACAAATCTTTGTTTTAAAAAATGAAGCCTAAAATCCCATGTTTGTTCTTTATTGGAAAATACAAAATAAAAGTAAACATGGTTTTTTAAAAATGAAGCATGTGAAATAAAACATATTAGATTTTTGTTTAAATTGGTTTTATTCAGAAAGGCAGGTACTAAGAGATTCTGTATATAAAAGATTTTAAAAGAAAAGGAACATTTAAATTTGTATATAAATTCTTGATTATCCTTTAAAAAAGAAACAGGACAGATTAACTTACCAGAAAGTTCTAACAGTACTCTAATTATGTCTATCATTCAGTTATTTCTAAGCCTTAGCCTTCTCTTAAATCTGTTATTTAAATCTGTAAAGGAGCTAACTTCTCTAAAATTGTTGAATTTACATGTCTGTACTAGACATGACAATGAAATAAAATATATGGGAATGATATATTTTCAGATATATCTTAACAGAAATGTTGCCCCTCCTCATCACTGTTTTGCAATTGTGGTGTGTTTACTTGTTTATCAGATTTTGACTGATTTGTATAATATCTATGTTAAGAAGTTCATCTTCTATGTTCAGTTTCTTTCTTCTACTTACCTTGGCCTTAGACTAAAGCTTTCAACACTTTATTATTCCTGTCATATTTCTGTGTTTATACATCTATTGTCTTCAGTAAAAAAAGAGTCATTGATACAAAAAGATGACTCGTGTCTTTGTCAGTGCCAGCCACGACCATTTACTTGGAGTCTGAATATGTTAATAAAAGTACAGAGCTCTGACTTTAAAACCTAGCCAGATCTTTGTTATTTTATAGCATCCTCTAAGCCCTTTGCCACATCCAAGAGCAGTAATATGTAGTGTTCTTTAGCTGTTGGCTCAATTACCTAATTAATAACCATTTTATTTAATTAATGTTCATGTTTCTCTGTGGAAGGAATTGACGCCACTTAATAAACAGAATATGTGGTTTCAGAGAATTTCATCTCTTTTAAATTTTGCCTGAGATTTATCTGTCGCTAGCACCCACCTTTTTTGTATTTTCTTTTACAAAATGTTTTCAACATAATGTGGAAGTCTCATGTATTAATCATGCTATAAGAAAATTCAGTCATACAACGAATCAATTGTGGTCTGATTGTTTTCATTAGAATGGGACTAATCAAAATAAGTTTTTATTATACAATCAATGAAAGTGTGGTATTTTTGCATATAATTTTCATAAAATTAGTTGCAGTTTTATATACCATTATAATGTAGGTAAATAGTTTTGTAGGTAAATAGAAGCTTTTGTTTTTTTGATGAGGTCTTATAGGAATTCTATCTGCCACTATGTAGTGTTGGTTACAAAGAAAGTGTTTGGTACATAGTTCATAGGTAACCGGTAACTGGAAAGATGATCACAAAGTGTTTTTTATATGACACTTTCCAAGTTAGTAGATGCTTTCTTAAAATTTGAAACTTTAATAAGAAAGTTTCTCCAAGAATGAACAGAACATTCTAAATTTTTATACATAATTTCTGTTTTCAAATATTCTGGTTCACTTGAAATTGTACCAGGAATATTATCTATACACAAATCACCTTTATCTACAGAGGATACATTATTCCAAGGCCAAATTCTGTACACACTTATTTTCCATATACATAAAACCTATGAGAGGGTTGAATTTTTAAGTTGGGCACAATGAGAGATTACAGTAACCAATAATAAAATAGAGCAATTATAATAGATATATTTGTAATAAAAGCTAATTAATTTTTTGTTGTAGAATTTTCCATTTATTATTTTGAAATTGTAGTTTGCCAGGGTAAGTGAAACCTTGGACATAGAGAACTACTGCATGCAACACTACGTTTTCTCTTTAACTCTTTAACATGATTTAACAGTTCTTGGTTTTTGTTTTTTTTTTAATCGCTTGCTACAAGAAGTATAGACATAAACAAGAATAGAGTTCTAAGAACTGAATTCTTATTAATTAGGATGCTCTGCTTTGGAAACTCTCACCCCCTTTCTCTGTTATTTTTATTTTATTTTATTTTTTAATGTTGTAGTTGGACGTAGTATCTTTATTTCTATTCATTCATTCATTCATTCATTCATTTATTTTTATGTGGTGCTGAGGATTGAACCCAGCGCCTCACATGTGTTAGGCGCGCGCTCTACCGCTGAGCCACAACCTTGTTACCCATCCCTTCATTTGATAATTCTGTCCTATAAAACAACTTTGGGAACCATGGCAAGTTACCAGAGAGATTGTGGCATTTTATTTACCCTACACCACAATTTCACCTAAATTGCAGAGGCTTTCCAGGAATGTTCTGAAAGAGAAAGAGGTCCTAAATAAATTTACTAGAGTATTGTCATTGTAACACCTTGATTTTCACATGCACAAATGAAGCAAAGCCAGTGTTTTATATTTATCTTAGTAAAAAGCTCAATTTGGGATTAGGGAATATACCCTCCTAGGAATCAAAGATATGAAAGACTAGAATTATCAAAAAAGAAAAGACAGAAGTGTCAAGTTAGGAGATCTTCAACTCCTCCAACTTCATCTGGGGACTGATGGGGAGGTAAAATAATGGAACCCAAGCTTCAGAAGGTGCATTAAGAAACAAAGAATTGTTTTTTTAGTGATGGTCACTGATCCTTTCTCACAAAGTGGTTCTGCTTATTTGGAATTAGATTGTGTGTAATTTTAGAGAACATTAAAGTGTTACCAACAAAATTACTAGGGTAAGTTGTCATGTTTTTGATTAGTTTTGATATACCTAATGTTGATTTGATATGGTTTGATATAGTTTGCCTTAATTTGATATCTCTAGTAAGGAATATCTGATCACTGATCTGATAGAAATCAATTTTATAAAATTGATATTTGTTTGACTTGCTTCATTCATATTTTTGTGGTTTAGGAACTAAAGTTTCATATTTTCATGTAGGCAGTACTAAGCTAGAAGAAGTTTGGAATCTACTTATAGGAGTATGAGTGGATGGGAACAGAAATGGAGAAGTCTAGAATGTTAAAATATCCAAAGAAATATTTTAGTTCTGAAATTCCATAATTACACAGGGTATTGCTTAGAGAATACTGGAATAGTGATGAAGGAACTCTGAAGTAACATCTTCTTCAGATTCCTAGGGCAAGGATTGATATTCAGCTAGTTCCATAAAAATGCAAGTATACTTACCGAATGTGAATTATTCTCTGCTATACCATACAAAAAACATCCACCAAAATATCTTTTTGGAATTATATATTTTACTTTTTTCTTTCCTTAGGTATGGATGAACGTGGAGGTACAACATCTTGGGGAACAGGTGGTCAACCAAGCCCCTCCTATGACTCATCTAGAGTAAGTTTTCTTATTGACTCTTTTTTGGGCCAATACTGGGGTTTGAATAACCAGAGGCTTGTAGGTGCTTAGGCAAGCACTAGTTCACTGAACTGTATCCCTAGTTTTTTTTGTTTTTTTTTTTTTAATTTTGAGACGTGGTTTCAGTAAATTGCTGAGGATGACCTTGATCTTGTGGTTCTCCTGCCTCAGCCTCCTTATTAGCTGGGATTACAGGCATGCACTACCAGGCTGTCTCTTATTAATTCTTGAATAGAAGGGTAAAGATAATTTGAATAAGTAATTTCTTTGCTATGTGAACTCTTAGATAAATGAAGATAATTTATTTTCATGAAGATAGACTACTCAGTCGCTTCACTATAGACTTAATTCTTATTAAAAACTGTCATACTTTGGGGATTTATTGTATTTTGTGTTATTTCTGTATTTGAACTTGCCTGCAGTACTCCTCATGAAATCTAGAGGAGCTCAGAGTGCCTCATTGTATTTATATAGTCGTGTTTCTTTGTGCTAATTTGATTTGAGAAATGACATTAGCTTTCAGAGCACAGGCTTTCAGCCTCTCCTCTTTTAGTCTTATTCCACTTGCCACCAGCTATTTCTGTGAGGAACTGTACAGCCCCATCTCTTAGAAAGATATCAAAACAGAGACGACATTTTTTTGGTTGACAATTAAGAGAAAATAAGACCAAGCTAATACTGTTCTACATACAGAAAGTTCAAAGATTAGAACCTTTTTTACAGAAACAAACAGAAATCTCAAAAAAAAAAAAAGAAAAATGAAAAATTAGATCAAAGAATTTCAATGAAATTATGCACTGTGTTCCCAGACTCACTAGTAAACTGGTGAGTTTAAGAGATAATGTCCCAAAAGGCCATATTTAAATGAATAATGAACTATTTCTTATTTCTCTCAGAATTAACCAAGAGAAGATAAATGGGCATAAAATTTATCAGTTCTTAGCCCTTGAAGTGAATTGGTTTAAATAGAACTAAAACTGAATGTGTGATTGGAGTTCATAGTCTCAGAATGGATTATAGCCTTTTGCATTGAAAATGCTCTGTTAAAGTACTTCTTAAAATATGAGGTTTTGCTGTTGTATTTGGTCATAGTATGTTTTATTTAAATACTTTGTGAAGAACTGGATTAGTTATGTGGAATCTTAGAGACTGCAAAACATAGGATTTTAAGTTTTTCCTTTGGGAATCAGTGGCTGAGAAATCTACACTGCAGTGTAAAGAGCCTGTGCTGCCTATCTGAAGACTTGGATTTTACTGTTGACATCACTATTAACTAACCAAAATTTAATCTTGGAAACATTATTATTATTGGGGATCGTTAACCAGATGGATATACACATTTCTTTCCACCTTTAAAAGTTTATGATACTTTGAATAATATTGTGAATAAAAGAGGTAGGTTTCCTGTTTAGATTTTGGAAATAACAGCTTTATTTGGTGGGGAATTGACAATATGCTATTTATTAATATTAGAATATTTTCTTTCAAAGGCTTGAGTTACTGTGTAATAATAGGTTATTTCTTAGAGTGCTTTAAGTGGTGCATTTGTATTTGATATTCATTTCCTTCTCAAAGTTTTTTGTTTTTCTACTTGAGCACTATATAGGATTTCAAAAGAACATAATAATGTATCTAAACATTTATGTAACTTGTGATCCTGGAATTAAGTTTGGCTTCAGAGATGGGATCCAGATCTGCCTCTCTTCTTACTTTTTGATTTATAGGTTAGATGTGTAATGCTGTCTTTTATTCCTACTTTATTTTTTTGAGTATAGGTTATTTGCAGTGCAATGTTAGAATTGATTATATAGTGAAGTAGTTTTCTATTAAAAAAAAAAAAAAAGATTAGTCTCTAGGTATTCCCAGCCTACTGTACAACCTTATTTGTATTTCACCTTGTTTATTTGAGTGATCAAATAGGATGATGATCCAGTGCTATCCTTCTTTATTTTTGTTCGTACTGAAATCCACTTTTCCACCAATTTCCCTCCTTTTATTGTGGTCACAGTCTGACCCTAAAATGATTTAGTGAGCTAATGAAAAAGCCACGTTGTTTGTTTGCTTGTTTTTGTTTTCTGAATCCAGTTTTAAACTTTCTTCCCCCTTTAACTTTTCTCCCCCAGAGAGATACTCATGGTTACTTTTGAAGCTTCCCTCAGGACTACTTTTTATAGGAAGATTATCAACTTTTAGTGTTTCATCATTAGATGCTGTTTACTGTCATCACCATGTTTTTCATAATTTTAAGAATAAGGGGTTATAATCATGTTAATAAAACTCTAATTTGTCCAAAGTAATTCATTCTTCTGCCTATTTTATCATGTTGAGGTTTTTAAATTCCTGTTTTATATTTTAGTACATTGAGGTTTTTAAATTCAGAAATAAATATTAGATGTTGGCTAAAACCAAATTTTGATATACTACTAGTAAAATAGTCAACTCAATGTAAACTTTAACAAAATTACAAATACTTTTGTAAAAATCCTGTGAAAAAATTAATTTAGAGTTCATTATATTGTATTGACTGTACATTCTATTACAGAAAATTGCATTGTTTAAAATTGAGTCAAAATTGATTCGATTTTCATTAATATCACTGAATAGAAAATTTTGTTATTTTAGTTTTCATAAAATTTGAAGGGCCTGGTATACAAAAATAATACTGAAAAAACTACAGAGTACTTGGATGGAGTTATGAAACACACGCTTTTGATTTACATGGATTAAACTATATAAGCTGCTGTTTTTCCCCCTTTTGGCCCAATTCAATGCTATAAGAGAAAATGAATGATTTTTTTTTTGCAGTAATGTAAAACTGTATTTGGCACATGAGCCCTATTAATACTGTATGTCATGTACATAGTTGTATAGAAGGGGCTATACAAAATCATGTAGGTTGAATTTAATATTTATTTAACAGCTTTTCAAAGGAAATCTTTGTGTGCACCATACATAGGTCCTAAATTTACCATATAAATACTAAATTTAAATCTGATTCTAAGATATTTTTCTAGAATAGTAGACTTGTGCACATGAGCTCCAGAAAAGTCGAGTAGTGAAGAGGCACAGATTTTTCTTTGGTATATTAGTCTTACATCCCTTCTCTGAGCATGGAAAAGTCACTTCAGCAGCTCTCCAGTTAGCTGTGGCTATCCCTCTTTTTACCAAATGCACCAGAAATAGCCTCACAGTGTAGATGAAGAGGTAGTTAAATATCTGGTCATTAGAAATATCCACACAGAACCATTTAGTGAAGAGATTTTATGAGGTAGACAAGAAATATAAAGTGTTTTTAGAAGAAATAATAGACATATTCAGCTTTCTTGGGAAAAAGTCATGATCAAGGTACACTTGATCTTAGCCAAAAGGCCGAGAAGTGATCATGATCAAGGTAAAGCATCAGAGACAAATGAAGGATTTAAGTCTAAGGTAGTATAGAGAGGGCAAAAAGAAATTTATTTGATGAGTTTGTCCCCTTCCTTTCTTATCCTTTAGTGCAAAGAAAAGCTTTCTATATTTGCTATTGTACCAGGTATAAAAGCCAAATATAGCATAATTTTTCATTTTTTTTTAAATACAAAGAAATGATGACTTATTCTAGATTCAGATTTTTCTCCCTCTTGCTACCAGGGTGATTCTGACAAGTTATTTAAATCCACTGTACCTTAGTATATTTATCTGTGAAATGGCATAATGATATCTACTTCATAAGGTTGTTTTGAGTATTAAATGAAACAATATACATAAAGTGCTTAGATCAGTGTCTGGTACATAGTGCTATGCGAGTGTTGGTTTTAAAACTGTTTCTCAAAATTTGTTAGATCTATATATAACAATTACATAAATGTAAATGAAATGAGTACATTTGCAGATATACTATATTTTAAGTGTAATGACTGAGAACTATTTGCTCAATTAGTCTTACTTAATATACTTTAATTTCTTTAGATCTATAAAGGACAAAAATAAAATCAATTTTTCTTCCCATACAATTGCTCACTTCTTTTTTGGGGGGAAGCAAAAACTTCTTGCTATTCAACTTTGATATAAGAGTTTTTGTGTCTGCCTGATATGATGTTTTATACATAATGTGTGCTGTATATGTGTTTGCTGAATATAATCAAATTGGGGAATAATGATTATATTTACTAGGGTAATGGATTTGGAGATTAAGGAAGGAAAACTTTAAAATTGACTTAAGATGATGAAGTTTGATGCAGATGATAGTAATATTGATGGTAGTAAGACATTTGTCCGTGTTTATGCATTGTTGTCCCTATGGTGATTCTACTTAGAAAAGAATTTCATTTAAGATCAAAGGTAATGGATACTTTTATGTGATCTTAGAGAAGTTACTTTACCTCTCTGGGTTTAAATTTTTTATCTCTAAAATTATGATAATTTTACACATATCTTGTACAGTTTTAGTGAAGGTGAAATATAATAATAGCTATTAAACATTTCACTATTGATACTAAATGGAAGCTGCTTATTATTAATATTACCAGTGTTATCAACAAATATCTAATAATTTAATGTACATTTTCAAGGCTATATTTCCTGATATGTCTGATCTTTTAAGTCAATGGACATTTCAAGGGACTGTGTTGTCTTAGTTTCTCTGCCCTCTTAGCAATGTTACCATTAACCTAGATCAAGCTCTAAAGAAAGAGGAGTTTTCTGTTGTTATTCTTTTCTAAAATATCAAGTTTTTCATTCCTTCATTTAAAAGGTAACCTTCAGTTTGCTGGTAGTAAAGTACTCAGTGATTATATTTATAGGTGCCATCAGGGATCAGGAATTGGCATTCATTTTCTTTTTGTGATAAGGTTTGCAGACTAAAAGTCATTTGTATTTTTGCTCTTTCTTCCCTGTGCATTTTGCAGTATTATAGAGTTTTCAAAGATGAAAGGATGTTAGTTAATCTGTTTATACTCAGTCCTTTTATATCATAGATGAGGAAACCAGGATTTGGAGAG